CATAATGGTCCTGAATTTATGAAGACGAACGCGAGTCGCGTTGCAACGGTTGCGCATCCAAAGTGCGGAGGAGAAACAGAAATGACGTGAAGCTCCAACGCGCTGTGGATTTTGTTCGCCAGCGGCACTGTCCTTCAGCATTACATTCTCCGCGACAAAATTTCCGTCGAACTCTTGCACTGGCACTAGCAAATCCGCCTTTGCCCGGCAGATCGGGCAACGACGAAACTTGTCGCTTAAGCTGAGATGCACTTTTGATGTGTTCGGGTTAAAGCACGCTCTGTGGACCAAGTGGCCACAGGGCACAAGATTCCATAATGAAGACGGGATCGTGTGCGCAGAAAACAAAGAGAATGGCATTGCAACAGATTTACTCAAATCAACGCAAACGTTAAAAGCAGTGTCATAATTAACGAGTCGGGAAAGTAGCGAGGATATGGATCTGCTGCACACGTACGACAGCGGCGCAGCAGTTGTACCCGGTTCGCGACAAATGCTACATAACAATTTGTTCTGCGTTAGAGTAGAAGTTTCGTTAACAGAAGGCAAAATTCTGGCATCAACATGGTCGTAAGCGTCCGTTTTTGAGTCTTCTGCATTTGGCTCGAGCAAATTTTTCGAAATTTTAGCTTGCTTTTGTTTGATCAAGTTCTGGAATCGAAGTTGCGCCGCAGACAGCTTTACCGCGTTACCGCTGAGGTTAGCTTTATCTCGAGATTCTGCAGGCGCGGGAGTAACAAGTGTGGTTTGAGAATCGCTTTTCCGGACAGGGAACTTAGTCAAAAGCATCTGAATCGTGGAAGATTGAATTTCGTCAATGTCTAAACGCAAAAGATCACGCAGTTTCTGCGCTATAGACTCAAAATGTCCGTCAATGCGCGTGCCGTCGTACGAAGTTGCAAACTCGAGTTTCAAAGAAAGTAAGTTCCATTTGACAATTCGAATCACGCTGTTCAGTATATCGTAGATCAACTGATGATACAAGTCGTCTAACTCACTGTGCTGCGAAAACTCGGGCAACTGTTGGCCTGTGTTGGCAGCTAGTGGAATGAGTTTAGACATAGCATCGAGAGTTTTCACCATGCATTCGAGCAGACTACTGTTTTCTAAAAATCGGTGCGTGAGCCATCGTAGCTTAAATAGCAAACCTTCGCCGTTGATATCAACACAGTGCGATTCATAAACGCGGCAAAACGATTCTAATGGTGGCCCTACTGCTGCATATCGTTCGCCGCAACTCAGCAATTTCGCGTAAACCGAGGAGGCCGCTTTCTGATTGATGTTCGTTGATGTGAAATCTGCAAACGCCACGTATTCAGGTTTTAAGGCGAAAGAATCTGATTTTGTGTCGAAAAAACTAGCTAGTTCGCGACACGATAGTGGGTCTGTCACATCAAAGTGTCGGATCGAGTTGAGTTTTTCGAAGGTGTAATACAGTTGTGGAACCTCGCAAAATTTAGCTACCTCGCTGCGTGCAGCGATGCTTGCGGACAGCTGTGGTTCCGTCGCAGACGAAACTTTAGGCCTTGCAAGATTTTCGTAAACTACAACTGAATCAACAAGCACATGCGACATGAAGGCCCAAAAAAGCGAAAGCTGAATCAAAGGAAGCTTGATCGCTTGGTGGTTGATCACGTCCGTTAAATACTGCAAATCGACACTGCGCAGGTTGAGACACTGCGAAAGCAACCCATCAAAGAGAGATTCAGAGCTAGTTGCAAAACCATCGAGACAATCCGTTATCGGTGCGTTTTCTGCATAGTTGTGCGAAAATTCGAGCTCTTGCGCGTATCGAAGCAACGGGCAGCACCAGTCAACAGGACTTTTGACTGAATAAACAGTCAGAAGTGCGTGAAGTAGAAGAAAAGCGTTGAGCCTAGTGCCGGTATACCAGAGACCCAAACAGCGAACTAGTTCTTGAAAGCTAGACCCGTTGCGTTTCCAGAAGCCTAGCGAACAAGTGTAGTACGAGGCTATGTTCGAAAGTGAAACGCAGAAAGCAATTTCAGCTACACGAGAGTCAGCGAGCAAACTGCGGAATTTGAGGGCATACGAATGGCCTGTCTTTCTCGATTCTTCATTAGGAGGCGCATTTGTGCAAACTCGGAAATATTCGTCGAGATTAAAGCACAACATAGGAAACGCCAAGCCGGTCAAATTAAGCGTCAGGCAAAACTGGTAAGGCTTGACAGTACGGAAGTTGCGATTGACTAAGACAAGCGAGTCGCAAACAACTTGCAACATCGCAGATGTTCTGTCAGGACTCGTATTAAGCTGTGCCGCGTTAATAAAAGAAGCTAACATGGAAAACAACTGCTTGGAAACAAGTGACGGCAGCGTTAAAGATCGCTTTTCGTATTCGACTAGTTGGTTAAGGTGGTGCACGAAGCATTTAGGCCTCATTTCCGTCAGAAAGTGTAAGAATTTCTCTGTTTTCATCACGAGCAGGTCTAGAACGTCCAGCGGCATTGACGAAAATATTGAGAAAAGCAGTTCGCTTCTTTGATAGTGAAGTCTGTAGAGAGATCGTCGCTGCGAAAGCTTCTTCTCGCGTTCGCCAGGAGTGAAGAGCTCATTGAGCAGAACCGGGCCGCAGTGCCGAATAGAGTCTGGAACAGTTAATATCTGAGGCCACAGAGCGTACAAGCAGTTTTGCGGAATAAAGTCTCGAAAAGGCCGTTCTTCTCGCATCAGGTAAAGCTCAAATAAATTCTTAACTAAGAAACGAGCGACTCTGAGCTTGAAGTCGACTCTTGGTACAAAGTACATTAGCAGGCCGTAGTAAGATTCGTGTTTCGGTTTTGCGGCGCTGAACATGCATTCTAGCACTTGGTCAGTTAAGAAGTGCTGCTCTATAAGTTTTCTGAACCAGAAACTGGTTTTCGAAAAAATCACGATATCGTCTAAGTCTGTAGGTTGCTTTACGAAATCTGACGCGAGCTGGGAGAGAATGCTAGTAAGTGCAGCACAAAATTCCTCAGGATTGCAGACTTCGCTTAGGATTTCGATTTCTCCTGCCTCAATACGATCACTCCTTGCTTCAGCGTCGCTTGTGTGCTCAAGGCAAGATCCCTGAGGCTTGATGGCTGTAGGGTTACCGCAATCACAGCAACCCTCACTGGCGACAAACGCTATCACTTCATGCGACTCGTGATTGCCGCGGAAAAAGCACGAAGCGCACAACGCAGAAGTCGGGTTGCAAGCACAGTCCTTGCCTACCTGAATCAGAAAAAAACTTACAGGAAAATGCAAGCGATGGTTCCTCCCAAATCCGCTCGCAGTATCCAAGAGAAAAATTGCGTCTAACTTCTTGCAGTCTGACAAGGAACCTATCAAGATCTACAACGCCGAAGCCTAGTAACGCAGATACCGACTTTGATAGCATGCTGACCAGCGCGGCATATTTCGGCAAAATAGTATATAAAACTAGTCAAGAAATCAATCGACGGAAAACGACAATTGCTGGATTTGAACCAACGCGGGCAGAGCCCAGTAGATTTCAAGTCTACCCCCTTAACCACTCGGGCAAATTGCCAACACCCTTTTGCAAATCTTTGAGCAGCGCTGCGCAAAAAACAATTATTTAAACGACAACTGCTGGATTTGAACCAACGCGGGCGAAGCCCAGTAGATTTCGAGTCTACCCCCTTAACCACTCGGGCAAGTTGCCAATATTTTTAGCTTTTATTTTCACGCGACCCCACCTCCAATCTTCACAGTTGCGGAAATCGCTTTCAGTTTGAAAATAATAAGCCTAGTTAATGCAGTCGGTCAATGAACTGAACGACTTAATAAAGGAAGGGCTCAGCTTGTCGGAAAATAGTGGAAGAACCAATGTGGAAATGCTGTATTTGAATGGCTTGGATGACGTAAGTTCGGTCTGACACGAATAGTATTTATGGGAAAATATAAAAAATCTACTGCTGTTGACAGGCGGCGTGTGGCTCGTTTTGATTTTGCTCTGGAAGCACTACTTTAAGTCACGTGTCACGAATTTCTATAAAAATCAAATTATAAAGCAGCCTTAAGCGCGGTCGCATGATCTGTCCTTTAGAAAACGCAGTAAAGATTGCATCGTGAGCGATAGACTTAGGAGCATTATTGCCAGCTCAGTCGAAGCCGCAGATGAGTGCGAGATTGACGCTGTCTCTTCTAGCACAGCGCCCAGCCGCACGCCTTCCTGGAATGTGACTTTTAGAAAGCGAGCCAGGCGAAGTGCAGAAAGAACTGTTCAAAGTAAATCTGAAACAGATTCAGCGCAGCTGAGAATCGTCGAGAGTTTAGACGCATCGCTGCTTTCAAAAACTTTTTTTTTCGCGTGTGAGGAACACGCAACCTCTTGCTCTTTAGATGTTACGTCACTTGCGAGTCGTGAAACGCAGCTTACGCGCTCGGCTACGATCTTCGACTTCGATATCGATGAGTTCGAAGACTTACTCTGGCAGAACCCTTCAGACTTTGTTCGCGGCAGTCGGGCGAGCATAGTTGACGAACTACACTCAACTATGAAAGAGTTCGATCCCAAGTCTAGCGACTGCGAGCTTCTGGTACGCAAAACAATTCCTCCATTCCTGTCAGCGTACTCGCATATACTCTGTGACACTAAGATTGAACCTGCGCAAAAACTGGAGCCGCTGACCGTAATGCAGCGGCGAGCTCGAAAAACTCCACTTAGTGTCGCAGAGATGCGCGCGCAGAACAACGACGCTAGTTGGACTTCTTCAAAAGGCTTTCTCGTCGCGTGCGCGCCTCAGGCGCGCGGCCGAAGTGTCGTAGTGGAGCCACTACTAGAAAAACTAGATGAACTCGTCGTGAACCGCGCTTCGGGGACGACGGAAGCCCGTGCTGTAGAGCGCTTCACTATAGAAGATTACGAAATGCAAATTGTGCAGTCAGTATATGAAAACCGTGTGACCATTGTCATTGGGCCCACAGGCTCGGGTAAGACTTCGCTGATTCCGTGCTTTCTGCGCAAAGCTGGATTTGGTTCACGCCTGGCGTATAGCGGTCGCTTCAAGTACAAGTTAATCGGCTGCACTCAGCCGCGACGCATAGCTGCGATAAGCCTTGCCTCGCGCGTTGCAGCTTTGCGCAACTGTTCGCTTGGGTCTGAGGTTGGCTACAGCATTCGGTTCGCAGACAAAACGTCATCTGAGACCCGAATTAGGTTCATGACCGACGCATACTTGCTGCGTGAGTTATTGGGCGGGTCTTCGTTTGACGCGTATGACGTCATTATCGTGGACGAGGCGCACGAGCGGGGCGCTTCAACAGACATATTGGTGTATCTTGCCCGAGAAGCGCTTCGCAAGAACATAGCTCTTAAAATCATCATTTGCAGCGCCACGCTAGACATCGAAGTCTTTTCGAACTACTTCCAAGATGCTAACGTGATCAAACTGTCCGGCAGAACACACCCGATCCGCTTGCAACACCTCAATGCGACCCCGGAAGACTTTGTGATGAGCTCGGTTGAGGAAGCGCTGAAGTTTCACCTCAGCAAGCCGTTTGCGGCAACTTCTGGTGCTGAGGACATTCTTGTGTTCTTAACGGGCGTCGAGGAGATCTATGCTTTTTGCCATCACTTCTGCGCGCTAGTGCGACAGCTGTGCAGTAGTAAGAAGAACTTTCAGTTCGAGCCCATCGCGCTCATACCGCTGTACAGCTCTATCGTGTCTGACGTCAAACCGGCCCTCGAGCACGGGTTCAATACACGAAAGTGCATTGTTTCCACCAACGTAGCCGAGGCTTCGTTGACCATTCCGCACCTGTACCTAGTTATTGATTCAGGCTTTTGCAAAAAGCATGTGCACTATCGCAGACTGCGCTGCTCCGCTTTGCGCATTGAGCCAATCACGCAGAGCAACGCGCTGCAGCGCATGGGTCGCGTTGGCAGGACGTGTCCCGGAGAGTGCTTGCGACTCTACTCTGCCGGAGACTTTGATAATTTCGAAGAAAACATCGAGCCCGAATTGACGCAGTGCACTTTGGACAGCTATGTGGTCATGATGAGTTCTCTGTGTAGCAGACTAATACACGAGCTTGATTTGCCCACTGCCGTCTCGGTGGAGTCTTCGGTGTTCAGCTACTACTCGCTCTACTTGATCGGCGTCTTCAACAGTCAAGGTGGACTGAGCGGCGTCGGGGCTCTCGTTGCAAAGCTGCCGCTCGAGCCGGCGCTCGGCCGCTTCATTGTGGCCGCCGCTTTGTTCGGTTGTGCCGAGCAGGCCATAAGCATCGCTGCAATTATGCAAGTCCCAGAGCTTTTCACGTCTCGCGCGAACGGCGCGGACGATGCAGCGCGCAACCGCTTTTGCCACCCGTTAAGCGACCACTTAACTGCGCTCAATGTGTACACGCAGTGGCTTGCGAGTGGTTCATCGAAAGAGTTCTGCTTGGAGCACAAGTTAAACTACTACTCACTGACGTACGCTTCGACTGTGCGCCAGCACATCGCGCGGCAATGCTCGATGCTGGGCATTTCAGCCATCGGTCGCGCAGCAGTCAGCGAAAGCCGCGCAGTGACAGACCAAAAGCTCTTGTTTGCATTGGGCATCAGCTACTTGATGAACTTGAGTCGCAGCGACGGTATGCGGACGTTTCATAACCTGATCTTGCCGCTCACCGTGGAAATCCACCCCAGCTCAGCGCTCGCGCTGTGCAGCACTCAAGCTAAATACGTCGTGTACACCAACGTTATTGTGCTCGATAAGCCTTACATGCAGTTTGTCAGCGTCGTGCACTCCGACCTTTTGGCGAAGCTCGATCCGATTATATTTGAATTTCAATCATTAAATCTATGATGTGCGAATTGCAGAATAATCCAGCAGCCACTTCCAAATCATGATGGTTAAACTATGCATAGCGCTTGCTGACGGCACGCGCCGCTGTTGTATCGCGTGCAGCGACGAGTACACAGTCAGGACCCTGAAAGCGCGCGTGACATTGTTGCAAGGCGGCTCTTGCAACGAATTCGCGCTGCGCTGGCAGGGACAAGCAGCAGGTACGGTCGCAGCAGAGCACTTGCTTGTGCGCGAGTTTATGCAATTCGGCGAGCTGGTGCTCGTCGTCTCGCTGCGCCCTCGCGAGATAGGAGTGGCTGGCGAATTGCAGCTGAGTCAAAAAGTACTGCAGAATATGCTCGACGCGTATGAACTGCTGCCCGAATCGTTTACAAAAATCGACATGCTGTATTTGTGTGTCTCGATAAATGGTAAGCAGGTGCCAGCCTTCGTCGACACTGGCGCGCAGTCCTCAATCATGAGTTTGGAGCTCGTGGCTGCTTGCGGACTTGAGAACTTAGTCGACCGTCGGTACCGAGGCACGCTGTTAGGCCTCGGGAAGAAAGAAATATACGGGAAATTGCATTTAGTCGTGCTGCACTACCGAGATTTTGAGGTGCTCATTTCGTGCATTGTGGCGGAAACTAGCACACCTTCGTTTATACTAGGGCTCGACGTTTTGCAAAAATATAATTGCGTTATTTCTCTTTCTAAAAGAGTAGTCACCTTTGACGGCATTGTCGAAATCCCTATTTTATCCTCTGTCGAAGCCAAGCAGTTGTTAGAGCCGGCATTAAACTGCACAATTTAATAAGAATGAATTCGATTGCACCTTTGCCATAGAATACAAGAACAGTGTAGCTTATGATTTTGTCTCTTGCTACCTGGCTGCATTTTTTCGCCCTGCTCGGCAATTCGCAAGCTTTGAGCGCTAGACAAGTCGCATTTACTGTGTTCGGCATTTCTTACAACTCATTCTGCCAACCAGTGCTGGCGGTTATGCGCAGACCAAATACGCGCGGCTATCTTACGGGTTACACTAACTTTCACAGTGTGGCTGATATGGACGGTTCATCTTCTGGCATACGCTTGATGAAACCCGATTCTAGCCGATATCAACAGGTTAAGATGCTCCAAGAGTATATGGAAGATAGTTTGACCGTTTTTCCCGGAGCTAGAAAGAACGCACCACTCACTCAGAGAAAACCAGCGTTTTTTTCTGAGTTACCTGCTGTAGAGAATACAGAACTCAACTTTTTGTTTCCGAGCAATGTGGCCCGGGAAAATGTATCACAACTGTGCAAAGAGCTATCGGAGCTTTCCAACTCTTTCGAATGCTATTCTCACAGCAATCAGTTTGACATCAACGCGGGATCGTTTGGAATCGGTGTCCGAGTGAAGTATGTCGAAAATGGCACAGGGCATGTGACTATTTACAAAAATTGTATTCTCGAGCAAGAATTGCCGTTTGTGATTGCAAAGGAATACGTACCGCCCGTTTGCGGTAGTGAACACGAAGTACACTTGAAACGGGACGCATTGCTCGAGTTTTTCTGGAAGTTGCCCTTTGGCTATCCAGATGTTCGAAGCAATTTCGTAATGAACAAGCAGCCTTCGACTAATCTACCACAACTGGAGCGCATACGAGGCATTGGCATGCAACATAGCGGGTTTGGCGTTCCGATTTACACCTTGCTGTTGAAAGTCACGTCTGACAACGGCGTCGAAAACACCTATATTAGCCAAGGCGTCATTATGCATTTCATCGAGGGTTTGCAGACCTTCAAACGGCGCGTGTATTATCACTCTGACATCGCACAAGAGCTTTTGGAGTCAGGGACTATGAAGAGCTTAACAAAAGACGGAGTTTATGCATCGCGTTTAGCTCTCGCATTTGCGTATGCAGACTTCTTCCAAACGATGAGCAGCGCCTGGCTGAAGCTGATTCAGCTTTGGGCCAAAGGCTCTTTTCACTGCGACCTACACTCGTCAAACTATTTAGTCGGTACAAAGAGGATGCCAATAGATAGTATACCGAAACAGTTGATCAACGGTTTTCACGTCACCCCGCTTAGAGTGCAACCCATGCTACATCCAGATTGCACAGAGACATATCTCAATTCGTACAAAGTCTTCTCCAACAAACTTGTGAATTGGTACTTTCTCGATCCCGCTTTTAGCCTGACGCTTCGAGAGTATGACCCTTATTTGGCACATAAGCCGTTTAACTTTTGCCAGGTGCATCGCGACCGTCGTATAGATGATCTTTACAACATGATGATGCGCCAGGAGAGTATGTCTGTCCTGTTTGATGAAACGCTTTTTCAAAGCTTTTTTATCGAAGACAAGTGGCCTCAATTCTACGATGACAAGCCACTAGAACGACTCTATCTTATGGCTACATACCTCGCGTTACCAAAGCCTATTAACTATCTCCAGGTCATGAAACAGATTCCTGAGTACATTCGATGCCATTTCTTTCAAATGCTTGCTACTGAGAATATCACGGACCGGTTTATGAACTACAGATATAAGGCAGGAGGTCGACTGTTTATGAACACGCTTCTCAAGTACTTACAAAACGACCTCTACTTGTGCACATTTTCTGACGGGATTGTCGTGTCTTTCGCTGCCGCTTACTACAACTTCCTTGCGCACCAGAGCGTTTGGCGAGACCGTTTATACCCAGATCAGATCTACAATATTGCCAATTCATCTCAAATGGTCAATGAGGAGCTAAGAAACTTTTTTGAAAATTTCAATATCTTCAACAAAGAAAAGTCGTTGAACATGTTGGCGCCAATGCCGTTTCAAAATAACATTATCGTGTCGTTTTCCAGAATGTGTGAGGTTAAAGAAACGTTATTACGATATTTCATGAATCTTCGCAAAACTAAAGCATTGCTTCAGGTATAGTTAGTCTAGCTTACAGTGGGTTAACATAGCCCCATAAATTATGTGTTCAATTTTTTGTAAATAGCTCTTAAGGCAATATTGAATCTGCACAATGAACAATGCTGTTCTGCTTCACAGCGAACTTTAAAGATATGCAGCTTCTCGCGAGCGCAGTCGATCTTCGCAGAGCATCATTCACTGTATCAATTTCTGCCTCAGATCTGTGCTCTATCACATAAAACCCTCTAATAATTTGGTCCCGGACAGTGGAGCCGAACAACGGATTAAAACTTAAGTCGCTTTGTTTTGTCGGCCCGCTGTTAAAACAAGTGTTGTGTCTGCTGAGAACATATATCTGCAGCAGCTTATTGCGTTTGGTGTAGCTTTCGTTTAGCAGCAGATTCACTTCTCCGAGTTCATGCAACAGTTGTTTTAAAGTTTCCAGATATGAGAACACGAGGTTACCGCCGCACAGTTCAGAATGACCGCGCCGGATGTCAGCCAAAACTGGACGTTTGAGCACTACAAGAGTGTCCTCGGGATTCTCCAAAATTAATGATCTGACGCTCACCAGGTCTAGGTGACGCGAAACTCCAAGTGCACGCTGTGCGCTCCAATCCCCTACAATAGCTACCTGATCAGCGCCACATATTCTTGCGTAATAATTATAAGACTTTTTTTCGACCGATGCGGGTGCAAATAGATGCACGAGCATAAACGAAGTGATCGGCGCTGCTAAGTTCGTTGCAACAAGAGCTGACTACATCGCAAATTTTCCGCGCACACATCTGTGCAAATTCGATGCCTGCCGTCGAAGCACACCTGCTTCTGTTTAGTGCTGGAAATCAGCATGTATCTCGTGTCAGTAAAGTACAGCTATCCGTGGAGTCTACAGACATGCGTGTTCGCGCATCAGAATACGGCGATCCAGTTGCAGCGTCATTCTCGGTGCCAAGAAGAGACGTGCGTAGCTCATGTTGTTTCGCGTTGCGCAGCAGTGCGTCGTTGCTGATTCAACTCGTCTGCTCTGGATTTACCGCATATAGAGAGAAAAACCTTCTTTTCCTTCTTGCTCTTGACACCAAGCACAACGAAAGGTTCACGACAGGTGCACAGAGCAGTGGAAAGATCGAAAACGAAGAGATAGGGCTGTGTGACGGAGACTCGGTCGCACAAGCAGTTCACGCTACTAACGGAGACGCATACTTGTTTTCGCTTTCTGACGCTTCGAACAGCCTTTGCAGTTCCAATTCGGAAGCTGAAACTGCAGCTTCGGAGAACACGAGACAATGGGAACTTGAACGCGCAAGCGCTGACAGGGCGTTCTTCAGCGACCGCAGCCTCTGTTCGTCGTTCGCTCAAACTATTGAGTTTGGCGCGTTCGTCCCTAGCGGCGCCGTGGTATCGCCAATCCACAAGAATATTCGCGAAGAAGACTTCTTTTGCAACGACGGTGTGCACATATTTTTCATTCTGACTAGTCGTGAGGACGCAGAACACATTTACAAGCAAATAGACCAGAATCTTATAAAGGCTCAGTCTCCACCATATGCTGCAGACGAACAAGGCGGATTGTGGCAAACTCGCACATACCGCAACCTCGCCAGAGCCTCTCACGAGACTCTGTTGAACGAAGCAGCGATTCTGTGTCACCTGCGTTCGCTCCATTTACCGCAACTTGCCGAATTATGTAGCCAAAAAGAAACGCATTTAGATGCACGACTGGCTTTTACACTGCTGCAAGAACTAGGGCCGTTGTTCCACTCGGCGGCGTTCAAGCTTCTTTTTGATTCGTACAGAGACGGAAACTCTTTTCAAACAGTGTATAAACAAACAAGAGGAGCAGTTAATACGCTGATAATCTTCAGTGCCAATGAATCCGAGCTGTTTGGGTTTTTCACAGGAGAAGGTTTGAAACGTTTCGAAGACTATTATGGCGGCCACAACTGCTTCGCGTTTTTCTGGAACAACTACGACCCGCTACAATTCAAACGCGCTAAATGGATAAGAACGCATGGTAAAGCTATTCAATGCAAGGCCGGCTACATAGTGCTAGGGTCTGGGTAAGTTAATGCGTAGTTGAGCAGGTCAAACCCCGCAATTGTCATATGCGATAACTTGCAATCTGCAACCGTAATGCCGTGCGATGACTTCACAATCAATTTGGTCTCTGAAACGCGTGACTTTGCAGCGCAACGATTCCAAGTTTGGCAGCTGAGCATTTAGAGGACAAACTGAAAAACGTTTGTCTGCAGCATGCATGACTGCCGCAGACGTTTCAGCAGCGAAAATAACGCTGCTATCGATAGATGGGCATTCGGCGTATGTTTGTTCTGCTCCATCAACAACGTCTCGTGCAAAGTGAAGATCTGCGTCACGACCTGTGCAATGCGTTCAAGTTTATTAGCGAGCAACAAGACATCAGTACTCGCAAGCGTTCCGAGGATCTGCTCGTATCTAGCGGCGGCGCGCAGTGAAATGGAGTACAACATAACAGCGAGATCTGCAGGAAGGCAGAGCAAAATAGGATTAACTTCGCTGGGCCGCAGCCGGAGCAAGTGCCGCACCAAGTACTCTTCCGGTTCCAGCTTTAGCAATTTATAGTTGGCAGTTTCCGAATTCGAGTTAGCTTCGTTTATTACGTTGATTAGTGAGTCAGTTAAACTTAGCATGCTAACATTCTTGTTGTTTATTAGTTTAGCGCCTATCGACGTAGTTTCGCCTGACATAGGGATTTTGTAGTCCGAGCGCACGACCTGTTGGTTGATGAGACTTTTTCTCTCTTGCTCTTGTATGTCTTCAGCTGAGAGCATCATCCCCGAATCTTTAAATACGTTTATTGTGCAATCTTCTGTGGAGCAGAGCAGTGAGCCAGAGCTTGAGTCGAACTGCATGTCACAAATTGCACTCTTGGCAGTACCCCACCTAGATACAATTTGTTTAGAGCTGACGTCTATGTAATAGACGCGGGAGTCGTCCGAACCAATAAACGCTAAGTCTAAGCTGGGGTGTAGAACAAGCTTTCGCGGATTGCAACTACTGGATATGTGTACACTTGACTGAAGGTTTGCAAATTGGTAATCCCAAACTTTTAGAGTTCTGTCCATAGCAACGGAGAAGAGCTTCTTGGTTTGCTGCGAAAAGGCCAAGTCGGTGATTGGAAGTTTATGTCCGTAAAGAGTACATACAATGCTGAGATCTTCAGCGCGGAAAAGTACTATTGACGAAGATAGCAGACCGACTGCAATGATTTGCCCGTTGGGCGACAGAGCAGCAGTAGTAGTTTTTTCTGATAACGTAACGAATGTTTCAACTACCAGCTTTGGCGGCCAGCAAGAGTCCAGAGACCATCGTACAAGTTTCCGATCTTGGGTGCCAACGCTAAAGTAAGATAGGGATTCTTTGCATACAAGCAATTTTGAAACGCCCCCGGTGTGCACGGAAACTGTGCTGCTGGAAAAGCCGTGCTCGAGGGAGTAGAATTGAATGTTACCTTTAGCATCCGCAATGATGAAACATCTTGCACTGTTGCAGTACAAAAACTGCATTAAGCGCGTATCTACGCTCACAAAGCAAGATAAATCGTGCAACTGCACCGGATGGTAAGTTTCCGAATCGACTTCAGCTACAAAATTCCTACCGCTGCAATAAAGCGCGTCTGGCGAAGACGCTCGGCAAATGTGAGTAATTGGAGAGGGAAAGGCGAGGCGCGAAAAAACGGACTTTAGAACAGAAGTATCTAGCTCAATGTCGGTCTTGTCATTCATGCGACTTACAACGTAATTTGAGTAATCATACACAAGTCTGTTCTGAGTGCCCTGAAGAACAAGTCTGGTTGCACCTTCTACTTCAAGAAATCCTCCTGATATCGCGTCAAACGGTAACACCAACGTCGAGCGCAACTCTTTGAAAGCTACGCTAGCACTGTTACTGTCGGGCAACCGACATTCAAGCAATTCGAGTTTGTCAACAGCGCTGACGTCTTCTTTTCCGGCATTCTCCACTGACTCATTCTCCTGATCTTTTTCAAATGTCTTCAAAACAGATCTTAACGCCTTGATTCTCTGATCAAAGAACTGTTCAGAGCCGCCTACGGCAATTGAAGAGTTTTCGACAAACAAAGGATCGATCAGTGCAAGCAGCTCTTTATCGTCATCAATTGAGGAAAGCAACTTTTTCTTTTTCTTTTTCAGGCGCTCAATTGACCGACTCACAATCCTCAATTGCTGCCTGCGCGCCTGCTCTGTCGAGTTTAAGCGATACAGCTGAACGATTTCGCACTTTGCTAAAATAAAAAGACAAATCGAGCTTGACACCGAGAAATCCAGCGTATACATACCGTCGGTGACGCCAGCAAAAAACATATCAGTCACTGAGTATTTGTGCAAGCGGCTACTTCTTTGGATCGATGAGTTATAAGTCAGCTTGCAAGATGGGTCTATGTCATACAGCTCCAGCGTTTTGCCTCTTCCTGCGATCAACAATTGATTTCTATTTGGTACCGGTGTTATGCTATTGACGCAGCTAATAGACTTCGCGCAAATATGCTGATAAACGCTGCGCGTTTCTAAATCGAAAGTTACGATAGAACCGTCCGAAGTACCACAAAGCAGCAGCCTGCCGGAGTTTAAGGCGCGCGGCGATCCTTGCAAGAACTGAAGTACATTTACGCCCTTTGTTTTTTGTGGCAGCAGGTGACCGCAACTAAAATCGCTCCACTCGAGCACAGAAACGGACCCACCTTGGCTCGCCGTGACGACCGTCTCCGAAGCGCTGTCCGCTGCGAGCGCAACGATTGCGTCTGTGTGAGCATAAAAGTAACCAGATACAGACGAACTAGAGTAGTCAAATTCGGCTACAAGGCCGTTGCTATACCCGACCAAGAGCGACGTACTCGCCCGGTCTTTAAGCGCGACGCATGTTACGTAGAAATCGTTCGCCTTATCAGCTTCAATTAAGTCAAACGAAAGACAGCTAACTAACTTCTGTTCTGATAAACTTTGACAGTATACGTTTGAGCCGGAAGATTTGAAAACGAGGTCATCGACATAGACGGGATTGCACAGCGACGATACACAAAAACCGAACTTTCCGACGAATTGAAATTGCGGCACTTCTCTCATGAGAGGAAAAGCATCATATGTGTGCAGTCTGTGCGGACACTAAAATGTGTAGATTAAATAATTTAAATTGCGAATCTGTGATCAGCCCAACATATGTCGGGTAATCATAAAAATTGTAAGTAGTCAAAGCGCAACTATCTTGCGTCCGCGCATCGCAACGTGCCAAAACGCGAGTTTCGAAGCGTTGATCTGTGCGCCGCAAAGCGCTTTTCTAAGAATTTCACTGCAGCAAAGCTCAATGCAATTCAGGTTTTTGGCTTAACCTACTTATGCTATGCTAGCATATATGCCACGCGGTAAGTGGCGAAGACACGCACATAGAAAGTCATTTTCGGTGGTTAAGTCATACATGGAGGACGAACTAAAAATGAGTCCAGAAGCACTCGGGATCATTGACACATGCTTTCTCGCTTCTTACGCATTAGGCCAATTTGTCATTCCGTCCCTACTAAACTCGTTAAAAATTAACGACTCGAAAGCAATTCTCATTATGTACAGCGGCGCAGGCGCGGTTTCGATCATCTTCGGTTACGCGTCGAACCAAATGGTGTACAACACGCTGTGGTGTCTGAACGGGTTCTTGCACTCAGCAATCTTCCCACTCATGGCGACGGAAGTCAACAAATACTACACCGCAACTAACAGAGGCCGCGTGCTCGGCGCCTGGACCACATCGCAGCAAGTGGGAGCCATCTTGTCCACTATGTTCGCAGCATACATTTCTGCCAAATATGGATGGCGATTCGCCTTCCTCCTACCCGGCGCCTACACCGTGATAATTGGCTTATTGTACTTCGTTATTGCGGAAAGCTACAAGCGCGACCCAGAATCTATCGAAAACAGCAGAAGCGTCACAACGGTTTCTACCACCAAACGAGTCGGCTCTACTGAAGTGCTCAAACAACTCTTTAAAACTCCGGACGTCGGTCTCGCTGGTATGGCGTACTTTTTCGTCAAATTCATTCGCTACAGTTTGCTCTTCTGGCTGCCGTATTACTTCGCAGCCGAGTGCAATTATCCCGCGGAAACGGCTGGCTACATCAGCACCATCTTCGATGTCGGCGGAATTATAGGCGGCATTCTCGCAGGACAAATCGCAGACTTGTACCTAAATGGACGAAGACTGCTGTGCGTCATCTTTAGCTCGCTGATTTCAGCGATTCTGCTCGTAGGGTACTCGATGAGCTCGTCCACCACTACGATATCGAACCTGGCCTATATGGGTAGCATCGGAATCATGATAGCGGCTTCCGACAGCATTATCGGCGGAACTACGGCGAATGACGTGGCTGAGCGATGCAAAATCTCTAACATCGCAACGGTGAGCGGTGTGATCAACGGGTTCGGTGCTGTTGGCGCCATCCTGCAAGGCTATGTTACCACAACAACCACTAAGCTATGGGGCTGGAAGGTCTATTACGCAGTGCTCGGCGCGTCCGCGTTGGCGAGCGTCGTCGCGCTCGGCTTACCCGCTTTCAAAGAAGGCAAGGCTACCGCTGAGACAGTTGCTGCACCGAGAGCTGAGTGTCCTGCGTAAAGCGCAAGTCTAGAGCTGCAAACTTTGCTGCTTTTTGTTGCAAAGTCAAGCTAATTTTTGAATTAAATGCGTGATTAAATTTCATAACTCATCCATGAGCGACAGCAACACGATCGCGAACCGAAGCAAGTACTACTTGACCGGTGCTTTGGCGTACTTGAACGGCAAGCCGCACATCGGACACGCTTACGAATTTTTGACATCCGACGTAGTCTTCCGCTTTTATGAGGTGCTTGGCGTGGACGCGAAATACGTACTTGGCTCGGACGAGCACGGGCAGAAGGTTGAAGCTGCCAGCGCTGCGAAGGGCGTGAAACCTCAGGACTGGGTGGATTCGTGTGTTGTTAGTTTTCTCGAATTGATGAGCAAACTCAATATTACAAAATTCACGTGGGTACGCACAACCAGCGCCAAGCACAAGGAATGTGTGCACTGGCTTTGGAATCGAGTTTTCGACAGGGGCTACGTCTACCTCGGAACGTACGACGGGTGGTACAACCCGAAGGAAGAGGCGTTTGTTACTGCAAACGAAGCGAAGCTGCACAACTTCGTCTGTCCTGTTTCGAAAATTGCTTACGAAATGCGATCGGAGGAATGCTACTATTTTAAGATGAGCTTATTTCACGACCGAATTCTGCGCCTCATTCGAGATACTGACTTCCTCATGCCTGTAGATCAGCGCAACGCACTAGTCGCGCGGCTGGAGAGTGAGCCTCTCTCTGACCTGAGTGTCACGCGCACAAAGCTGTCTTGGGGCGTACCAGTGCCGAACGACGCGAAGCACGTGATGTACGTATGGTTCGACGCGTTGTCTGGCTACCTAAGTGGCGTGAATGCCCACAAAGCTGATACCGGTGATAAAACATATTGGCCCGCTGATGTACACATCATCGGCAAAGACATCGTTTGGTTCCACTGCGTGATCTGGCCTGCGATTTTGATGGCGGCCGAAATCGAGCTTCCGAAACACGTCTTTGCGCACGGGTTTGTAATGGCGGAAGATGGGTCCAAAATGAGCAAATCGCTCAACAACGTGATCGAACCACTTGACTACATTGAAAAGTGCGGCGCAGACCCTTATCGCTGGTACACAATACGAAACGGACACTATGGGCACGACATCAAGTTCAGCGGGCAAGCATTGTACACGATGAACAACGCGGACTTGTGCGGGATCGTCGGAAACTTGGTCAATAGAGGGCTATCGCTTTGCGAGAAATATTGCGACTCATGTGTCTCTTCGCTTTCCTACTCTCTGCTATACAATGCAGCAGAAATATTGCATTCAATAAAAAGCTCGATGGAGCATTTTGAACTTGAAGCTCTCGCGGAGGCGGGTCTTAAAGTTTGCAGAAGCGCCAACAAGTTTTTGACCGACGAACAGCCCTGGATCATGGAAGACGCTTCTAAGCGCACACAAGTCATTTATAGTGTTCTTGACAGCGTGTACTTCGTCGCGCATGTGCTTTACCCTGTGATCCCAGCTGCGGCGCTAAAGATTTGCGATTTATTGAATCTACCGATGCAGCTATTGACTGACTTTAACCAGACTCCTAACCTGAAGCTCGGCATCGTAGTGAAGAAACGCACCAACTTGTTCGCCCACCTTCAGTGGAGCTGAAATGAATCTGCTTTACCTGCGCATTTAGTTAGCCTCAGTCTGCAAACGTTTTCGGCAATTTTTGACGCAGAAATTGGTTTATATGTCTTGAATACGGCTGTGGGAAACGCAATCAAGTTCACACAACGGGATCTGAATCTACTCTTCTCTGAAGGTACTAGTCTTTACTGCCACCCTCTCGTGCTATGGCGGTGGTTGCACTTCAAGAAAGTGCGGTTTCGCATACATAACCCTCGCACTTCTGCTCGCACTCCCACGTTTACCGTCACTTCGCACCTGTACCAATCACTTCAGCGCTACAAACTTGAGCTGACCCATGCGGCTAGAAAAAGCTGTAGCGCGATTAACCATACCTTACACAAACAATTCAGTTGCAGCCATTCGAGCTGCGTGGTACAAATGCTGAAGAATGACTCTGGGCTGCTAGTTCAGAATATGAATGTTCTATTCAGAGATTCAAAGGAAATAGTCAACTTTGATAAAAAATACGCGTCAAGATTACATGTAGTTTACGACAATTACAGTCAAACACTTGAATGCATAGTAAATTAAATGTTTAGTCGACCTCTTCCATTTTTGAGATAAGTTCAGGGGACGCCTCTAAATTTTCGAGACCCGGAACAACCTCTTCGTTCTCGTCGTTGATCGACAATCCAAATTTGATCATTTTGAAAATTCGGTTAGCGTACACCGTGGGGTCATCTTGCGTGAACCCAGAAGTCAGCAACGCAGTGTCGTACAACAGCCAAATCAAGTCCTTAACTGTCTTGTCGTTGGGATCAGCCGCCAGACGCTCCTTCATAGTTCTCATGATCGGGTGGTTCATGTTAATCTCCATAGTGCGCTTGGAAATCATGTAAGAAGACATGCTGGCGTCGCGCAGAGCTTGCGCCTTCATAATACGTTCCATATTGGCACTCCAGCCAAACGCTGGGGTAACCAAAACACACGGCGAAGCAGAAATGCGCGTTCCGCATACGACTTTTTCGACCTTGTCGTCCAAGATAGACTTAATGGTCTCGCACAAAGGCTTGAATTCTTCCTTCTGCTCTTCAAACTTCTTCTTGTCCTCTTCATCTTCCAGCAAGTCCATTCCCTCTTTCGTAACACAAACGCACTTCTTTCCGTCGTACTCAGTGAACTGTTGAACCACGTACTCGTCCAGAGGATCAACCATTAGAAGCACTTCCATGTTCTTCTGCTTGAGCGTCTCAATAAACGGAGAGTTTTCAACAGCTGCGCGACTCTCACCACAAATGTAGTAAATGTCTTTCTGGTTTGCAGGCATTCTGTCTACGTATTCGCGAATGGATACCATTTCTTCACCCGACTTGGTAGTATGGAACCTCAAAAGTTCAATTAACTAAAATTTGTATACCCTTGCCAGCAGAGACCCAAACAAAGATTCGCTTGTCGTTCAGTCATGACCCAGAAAAAGCCAAGTATGACTAGTGCCTTAAGAACCGAACTAGGCCGTAAGCAAACCAGCTAGAACAGCAGTTGCTACGGACCGAGTCATTGTCCGCTCTCGCAGAGCAACAGTGAAGACGCAGCAGCTCATACTTTAAGCAGGGATTAGGCAAAACTCCGATTGAAGTCTCTGCTGACCGACGCAACTTACTTTTTTGCGATTCGCATTGTCTTCGTGCACACCAAGCTTAATGTTCTTAGAGAACTGCTCGTAAAAGATTTTAAAGTCCTCTTTGACGTCAGCCAAACGCTCAAATTCTTCAATGCATTTCTTGACTAGGTTCTTCTTAATTACGCTCAAAATACGTTTAGCCTGAAGCTGCTCTCGAGAGATGTTGAGCGGAAGATCTTCTGAGTTAACGATACCCTTAACGAAAGAGAGGTATTCGGGAATCAAATCTTCACAATCGTCGGTAATGAAGACTTTTCGAACAAACAGTTTAATGTTGCAGCGTTTCTTTTTCGTGTCGAAAAGATCGAAGGGAGCACGTCGGGGAATATAAAGAATCGCGCGGAACTCTAGAGAACCTTCAACATTGAAGTCAATAACGGACAAGTGTTTCTCCCAATCATTCGAAATGCTCTTGTAGAAATCAGCATACTCGTCACTTGTGATTTCTTCCGGCTTGCGAGAAATAAGAGGACGAGTGGTATTCACAACATCGAATTCAACAGATTGCTCCTCTACGTTCTTCGTGAATTTCTCAGGAACCTCAACCTCCTCACCCGACGCTTTCTTGTCCTCAATCTCCTTTTTCGCAGCTTCCAGCTCCTCCCCTTCGAGCTCCACTTCAATCGACTTTGTTTTTTTGCAAGCTAGCTTTATGGGAAAACTAAGATACCCGGAGTGTTTTTTTATCAAATCCTTAAGAACCTGTTCTTGAGTGTACTCAACCTGGTCCTCCTTAAGATGGAGAATTAGCCGAGTGCCCCGCTTGATGACGTCGTACGGCATGGATGGTTCCCACTCTGTTACAGAAAAACTACCATCAGCACTAGACTCCCAAATGCATTGCTTGTCATCAGGATGCTTGGTGACAACAACAACTCTGTCCGCCACCAAAAAAGCAGAGTAAAATCCGACACCAAACTGACCAATCATTGAAATGTCACCACTCGATTCGAGCGCCTCCATAAAAGCTTTGGTTCCACTTCTCGCGATGGTACCTAGGTTTTTGATGAGCTCATCCTTGGTCATGCCAATACCTGTATCCTCAATAAACAAAAGCTTTTTTTCGGAATCAGAAGAGATACGAATCTCAAGGTTGGGCTCATCATTCAATACAGATTCATCAGTAAGAGATTTGTACCTGATCTTGTCCAACGCATCGCTAGCGTTAGAGACCAACTCTCTCAAGAAGATCTCTTTGTTGCTGTAAAATGCGTTGATAATCAACGACATCAGTTGCTGAATATCAGCATTGAAGCTGTAAGACTCGCTCTTTCCTGTCATTATCTCAACTCAAATAAAATAATAAACAAAATATACCTCGTTTATATTGACGTTATGTCTCTATATCGACTATATTGATGTCTTAATGGCTGCCTTGCGTGTAGATGGATTTCCCAAACCACCTAGTTGGTACACAAAAAAAAGCAATTTAATACCACCGAAGATCCATGTCACAAACTTTGGTTGCTACCGTATGCTGCAATGCACAGAATCGCAAACGCAAGATCAGCATAATGAACTTTCTCAAAATAAATTGCTTTTTTCGCCGTTAGCTGACGTATTGAACGAGTTTCAAACTTCGTTAAAGACCAAGCTTGACGGGATAATACAAACCGTAAGAAAAATTCTTGATTTTCAACTTCAAACGTTGTGCGGCGAAAAACAAAATGTTTCTGTAATATCTCAACTGAAGCTGAAGGAACAATATGATTCATTGCTGATTGTGTGTGGAAAGTATGAATACATATTATGTGCACAATTTATCGCTTCTATGGTGAATTCTGAAATAACTGTTAAACACTTTGCACTTGAAAGTCTCGAAAGAATATTCAATTATTAGTATTTGCTCCGTATTATAAAGTATAACTTGCTGGAGCTGTATTGAGATAGCAGAATGTCGAAGTAATTATTAAATCATGCTAGGACGCCGCCAATTAGTGGGATTTGAAGGCTCTGTTGATATTGATGATAAAAGCATATTGTCACCACATGAAAAGCATTACCACGAGATCGGAGTTGTCTTATCGAAACATCGAATACTTTCAATTCCTAAAGGACTGAGATACATTAGAACCGTTGATGATCCACGACCCATTTTCGTCATCATGCAGCCACGCTTATGGCGTCAGGACAATTTACTTCTTCTGTCAAAGTATTTTCTGTCTTTGGGTCCAACTTATGTTGAATGCTTTATGAAACTTTGCTTAGTTCCAAAGCTGTTAAACAACTTTTCTAAATCAAGCAAGATTTGCTCTGAGCTCTACCAGGTGTCTGCGAAATGTATGCGTGATCCCTCAAGTTTTATGAGATTGGTTATATTCCCGTTTTTGCAAGATGACGGTATTTCGCTTCGCAAGTTTACTGTCATTTGTAGCATAATTTCCAAGACTTCCTGTACAAGATCTCATCTAGCCGTCTGTTTGTCAATGCTCAGCAAACTGCATTTTAGCGCGAAAACTGCTTACCTCGCTCAAATCCTTCTATCAAAGACAGATTCAATACCTGAGTTTTTAATATCAGAACTGCTTGATTCACTTTTAAACTATTTTAACTCGGAGTCTCAACCAGTGATTTTGCACTGGCAACTGCTTTTATCGATAATTGAGAGATTCGGTATTTGCTTAGCTCCAAATCAAGTAACGTCGATTACCGAGATAGTTTCAGGATGCTCTTCAGAAGCGATGAAAGCTCAGCTAAATAAATGTATTACCGTGCTTATTTAAACCAATGCTTTCATATTATGCTCATGCGTATAAAATAACTGGCAAAGGTACGTGCATTTCATGGATGCAGCACACGCTCGACTTTATAGCACTTATATAAGTTGAATAATACGTGGCAGTTCCTGACGATTTACTTCTTACATCTCATGTTTGAAGGTGATTCAAAGCTTTATTGCAAGACCTGACAAACGTTTGTTAGTCAAACCCTGCAAAAAGATAGAAGTGAGTGTGAGCGTAACAGTATGTCGTTACTGCAGCCACAGAACTTTTATCTTGTAGTATACAGGAAAAGTTCTGTATGATTAAGCAAAGCACTCCACTAGCAGTAAATTCACAATCGAAAGCAATACGCAACCTTATGCTAGCTAATCACGCAAATAGAATGAGGAAGTAGCATTTTTTACATAATATAAGGATGCTGTCTGTACATAGAATTACAAAAGCAATGTTTATCGCGTTGTTTAGTACTTAATTACAGAAGTCAAAGTTTAATTTCCATCTGAAAAATTAAGAATTTGTATTCTGCGAGGCTTTAATGTTATTCAGTTCACGCTGTTATTAATATAATAGGATTCCCTACAGTGCATTAAAAATTGGTTTCTATACAATGGGTATTATCTGGCGCATAGGTATATACTATTACCTAAAAACACGTCGATACGCACATCAATGCCAATTACGGATAGATCAACACGTGCTACAGCTTAAGAATATAAAATGCGCCTGCCGGGAATCGAACCCGGGCCGCGACGTTGGCAACGTCGCATTCTACCACTAGACCACAGGCGCTTAATCAATGATGACTAAAAAAATACAAGCAACATCAAGCGCGGTGGGAGAAAAGTTGGTTTCATCAACTTGAAATTATGCTGATCCGATACTTCATTATGTACTATCTCATTTGCCTTCTCCTCAACTGCTTTCTCCATAATTTTCTGTCTCTTCAGACGTTGTATCCTTCTATTATCCAAATACCCAGCAAAACCGATGAGTATTCCACTAAACAGTATATCTGCGAATGCAGCAACCGCTAAATAAAGTGAATATCCTAAAGAATAGTCAGGAAAGTAGGAACTATTTCTTATATTGTTCATCTGATATCTAAAGGTAAAAACCACCAAAGAAATCAACCCAAAAGCCATAAGAGAACCGCCAATCCATACTATTTTTATAAGCCGGACCTTTTTTCCAAATATAAGCACAGAAAACGCACTCAAAATAGTTAATAGACTCACTATTAGTAACAGACTGATGGTAATACTACTAATCCCATAGATAATTTGATAAGCAGAGCAGCGTGTGTCAAGAGCAGTAAGACACAACATAGTACAAGCTTGTGCAATCGCTGCGGTTGGTTCACTTCTGATACGATTTGCTGTGTCACAAACCAACGCAGCCCTGCTTCCCCAAGTTATTGTGTAAGCACTCTCATTCATGTATGTGAGCAGAAGACCAAAGTAACCTGGTCGAATGTGCACGATATTTCTTGGTGCAATAGCAGGTGAGTAGGCAAACTTATACTGGTCAGTGACAAACCACGATGCCGTACAACATCCAATAGTGCATGCAATTGCTGCAACTAAGTGAGGAAATTTCAAACCTACACATAGCGTTCCATAATATCAATACCCAAAACCAGGATAGCTTTGACTTGATCTCAGAAACTTTGATTTCATAAGAGTTTTGTTTTTTCAATCGTTTACGATTTTTTCTGTCCGTCATAAATCCATTGCACGCATTCAAACGAATGCACGTATTATGTCATGAACTAAATAAAGTGCGCTTTTCGCCATATATAGTTTGTAGGATTGCTCTTTGCAAAATCTTGCGATATATATAGCAAGGAAAGCTCGAAAGATAGCACAAACTTGAGACTATCAATTGTACTTGCCACGGACACATCATCAACATTCCGCAAAAGCTCGAAAAAATGTAAAACTTCAGGTTTTTTCTCAACTATACACAGAACGCTCTTGTGAAGTTTGCAAGTTTTAGGAAACAGTACACGCACGAAATTCAATGAATGAGAGTTTGAGCTCTGTTCATTGGATCTGTGTATTATAATGTTATGATATTCAGATTTCCTAATACTTATCTTCGATTCATCATAGGTGTTAAGATTGCTAATAAAATAACACGCCTGCACTTTTCTAACAAAGTCGTAAACCTTAAGATTTGAAGCAGTAGCATCCCTAGACTTGCCCGAAACGATAATAAGATATTTTATATGATTTTGTGCACATAGATCATGTAAGCTTGCTATTGAATGAGAGCCTCGATTAATACGTGCAGAAGAAGGTAAGAGGAAAGATAGCGTTCTAGCAAACATTTTATTGCCTTTTGAAGCATTGCTCGCAGTAGTTATTAAAACTTCATGATTAAAATAAGACTTCAGTATATATAGCAAAAACCTACAGCTCCATTTTGCGTTTCGCCCTTCTCCTTCCTTGATAGGTCACCTATGCTGCTTAAACGACTTATTATCATATGATTTGCAATACCTATTAAAAAAAATCAATCTCTAATAAATTACTAGGCTGTATGATGTAGTAATATAGAACTTATGCTCGTACATGCTTCTTACACAGCAATTATTAAAAGTGTTTTTCGTCGAGATCAGCACCGCCAGAAACTCAGTTATCAGCTTTATTTGACGCAAGACGAATGGAATATACTATATGACTGCTTAAACATCGATTTATATGAAAGTGACACAATTGATGTTCATATCCTGACAAATATGAGTACCAGTAGTGTGCAAGACTCTGGTATAAAACGCTTGTGCTTTAATGAACAAATTACAATTCGATCCATAGCTGAAAAACAAATCAAAGACTTCAATACTTCAAGCAATGTTGTTTGCATTGTATCCCAGTTTTGGTTAGCTTGTATAAGTCTTTGTAGAGTAATGCAAAACACTGATACATCTTATAGCCTGTTAGACGAAATCTGTAGCTTTGAAACAAATCATAAGCTTTATGTTTTAGAAACAATTAGTAATCGTTCTTTGGCTGGCAACAAGATTAACACAAGCAAACTTCAAATGCACTTCAATATACCTACTTTTGTAATACAGTTTATCCTAGACTGCGAAGAACTTAATAGCGGATACATAAAAAACCTTATCTTGATGTATTTTGAAAGTCAGCCTATCCTTAAGCAATGCTAAACGTTAAGTTATACAACTTGCACTTCTAGGCATTCATTGAACTAGAAATATAATAAACGTCTGGTAAGATGTATCAGAACGCGTAACCTAAAGTATATCACTAAAACGGAGTAGACTTTTCTTCAGCATTAATTCAGTGTTTTCGCGATGATTTCTTATGACGTATAAAATATACAGAAGGGTGGTCAAACCATATAATGAAGCGATTATTGTGCTCACATTAGCAAGATAGCTACGGTTCACGATTATTAGCATTAATTTAACATCAAATTTGTATAGTAATAATGTCATGGTACAATTCACGGATGCTGAAATAGCTACTCTGACATAGTCCATCATTTCTCTAACGCTGTGTTCGAACAGCAAGCTGCCATAAGGGCTACTAGAAT